GTATAAAAATAGATCTTGTCATGTAGCAACATTTTCCTTTCGATCAAACTCGAATGTCAACCTACAAAAATACATTCGCATGCAAAGATACTAGAAAGTTTATATCAAGTATTTTGAGAGCATAGATTGTGAGATACTCACATATGACATGCTAAGATTTTATAGTTAAATAACGTATAGCCGCTCCACTAATTGGGTTTCTCAAGTGGAAAATAATGAATAGATCGTCGGATGTGCGATCCTAAACGTTGTATACAAAAAAGAAACCCTAAAAGCTCAAATTATAATTTTCACATATCTAATGGTTGAAAGGCAGAAGCTCTCATTATTAGAATCATTTGTATTTTGTTTTTAAAACTTGATGTAATTTGTAAAAGCAACTAATGACGATAAACGCAGAAATAAAAAACACTCTGCAAACACGTGATGACTGATTTATTTCAATACGTCAAGACAAATCAACAGCAAAGACTGCCGAGCACACTTACCTGATACAATACATCATGTATAGATGCGCTCCTATTTGAGCCATTTGCAGAATTGTACGATTTACGAACCGATGACTGCAATGGTGAACGGAACAGTAAAAGTGGTAGCAGAAAATGCGACATGCATGGCAAGGTATTTCGGTTTTGTGGATGCTATTACTTGGTAGCATCTTATGACATAAAGCCCATCTTTTGAGGCTCATTTGGTGAAACTACTGATAAAAAGGTATTTCTGTCCGAAGGCATTAAGCAAGCTACACTACTGTCTCCCTCTTATCCTCGAAAGCAAGATAGTTTGCAAATTACGATTTTCAAAATTGGTTATTCCTTCTTCATTAATCATTTCTTACATCGCATCAGCAGATTATACAGTAATCTATTCTTCCTTCACTTATACTTGGTTTAGATGTATCATACCAAAATCGGACACTGCTTATGATGCTGGTCCGTTTATAAAAATTCCGACAGCGGAGGATATTGCGTGCGATATTATTGAGACTAAGTGCGAGCTGCCAGACAAGCCTGCCAACTATTATATGCATCTGCAAATTCATCAGATGGAGTCAGCTTATAGCTAAATTGGAAAAAATAGATTGGGAAACGAAACAATTTTTTAATAGGACTACAGACGAATACAAAAATAGCTTGCCGAATGTTTACGTTTTGGTTTTGGACTCAGTCTCGAATTTAATGGCTAAAAGGTCAGGACCTAGAGATATTTGATGTTTGACT